CAGCTTCATGGAACGATTAGAGCTGACCGACGATCATTGATCGTGCTAGACCGTTTGGATGTGTCTCGCTTCCTGGGCCATTGCATGTCAAACAAAGAAAACCCACACTGTGCAACTTTCGGTGTTGTCAACCCCGTGTTGAGAAGGCTCTCGGTGGGACTGATCCGTCATGCTGCAGATGCATCCATCAACGTTAAATCCGAAGACTCAATGCTTATTAAGCATTGCTCAACAGTTGTTCGTACTCGTCATCTTTATTCATCCCTTCAGATGCACTGAAGCGTGTAGAGATGCAACATTGGTCCCACCTAGGCATCGATGATTGGTGCCTAGCAGTGAGAGCAGAAGCTGAAGAGATTAATTAACTCACTTGGCTCCTGCTTACAACGTCCGTTGAACGGACTCCGTTCAAACTTCGACACGAGGCGAAGCTGGGCAAGCGCTGAAGAATGTCGTAATGCTGCAAAAAATACGTGACGCTTTCAAAGCATGATGCCTCCGCAGCATGAGGCTTCCACAGCATGAAAATGGATTCAGCGATTTCCACTACATCATTCTCATCGAGTAGCAGTCGCCCAGCTCCAGTGGATTCCTCGAGCTGTGATGCAACCCTGGCTTCCACGCTGGAAGGCAATGACTTACTCTCCAACTTCCAGTCGCCCTCTGAAAATCGCGATTGGTATCTGCAGATAATTGTAACCATTGTCACTAATGGTGAAGGGCGGCCATATCACCACTTCAGGAGGGCTTCCAACTTGGAAGTTCCAAGCTCGTCAAGCGCCACGTATGGAGTATCTTGAAGACCAGTGTCGCGTATATACTGTATGTTGGCCGCGAGGCATAGGAAGACCAGTGTCAAGGTACTCGATCAGTAGCATGATGAACCGGTTCAACATGGCTTCGTCAGTTGCGATTCCCGGCTGCCGCACCTCTTTCCCGGACAGAGGTGGTGTCGTGCTATTCTTCAACCGACCCGACGGGAATGGTGTGATGGGTGACGGCTCGTGCATACTGCTGTTTAACGACCGGAGAGAGCATCTCAGGGAGCAGGGTGTCATTCTCGGGGATCTTGCCTCCGGTATGCGGTTTTGAACTTACCAGTGTAGCACGGTGCCGGCGACCGGTGCGCTGGGCTCTGGGTCCCGGAAAACAGACCGCAATCAAATGTTTGCCATTGGCAAACATTGTAACACATGCAATGTTTGCATACAATGATTGTATATAATGTGGGGTTGCGTACAATTTTTTCAACATACCGTGGGTGATATCAAGTGTGTCACGTGCAGGAATACTGCAGGAAAGCTCTCGAATGTGGATGGCAGAAAATGTATGCAACCCCCTATTGCATGCAATTCTCGCGCGTCCCAAAAGGGGGGTGGCACAAATTGGTTCAAAAAAGGTTTTTCCATGAAGCTGTGGTACGATGTCTTCAAGATTCTTATCAAAAAAATAGAGAAAACTGTTACCGCTTATTTGACCTTTGGCCAGAGGTGGATTCACCTTAGCCTAATTAAACGCAGTAATTGCAGTGACATTCACAGATTGCGCATCGGCGCCGTCATCTAGCAGGTAGCGCCGATATCAGCGAGGTTCACTGATATTCTTAGGCTAAGAATCTTAGCACAATCAGAGTAGCACAAGGAATCGCGCCAGCGTAACAGTTACGGTAATGTGGCCTTGACCGTGAACGCGTGAACCGCTCTGAAGTCTGTGGGATACAAACCTTAGCCCAGGTGAAAAATGTGACAGCGCCATATAATGATTGTGCGACTCATTTAACCGTCGGCAACACAAATGAAGGTTACCGCCAGTATGGCATATGAACAAATATTCGACGTGATTGACGTATATAGCACTCTATATCGGATAGAGTAGTAGGTTTTGCCTCGTATCCTTTCGAACCTGAGCTCTGAACTATATGAGATTTGTACCATTCAGCTGAAATTGTCCATCTCGGGCATTCTCTACATAGAGATCGCTAAAGTCGTTCATTAATCGGAGCTATTTGATGTTTCATCAGGCTGCTGTAAGTTGGCCAACGAGCCTTGGCATGACCAATACTGGAGATAGAGTGATTGGAGTCTACCATAAACTTTACTTCATCACACCCATTCGGATTTCAAGTTTTCAACTTGCAGCAAGTTACTTGCTTCGGTTTCGAAGTAGGCTATTTCAGGATTTCCTTACATGGACAATTGGTACCTTCCCAGCTTGTGATGCATTGCCAACGTCAAGCTCTTGAAGGATACACCATAGCTCTACTAGCCTTCCAGGAAAATTCCCAGAAGAGAACGATGTTCACATCTCAGTCAGGTCAAGTCAAGGTCATGAACATACTGTTCCTTCCGAGCTGTGATGAATCATCACTGATGATGAAGAAATTGTCATATCAATAGTTACAACAATGACGATCAATAGTGACAAATGTCATAGAGCTTGCTACCCGTTGCTGTCTATTCTCATAGAACAGGGTGTCCTTATTTTACTGCTGCCACGGCCCGTGGCCCACGGGGACTTTCGGATGGGGTTACAATCATTTCTATATCACGAGTCATCGACCCACTTACAGTGTTGAGTGAGCTTAGTCCACTGGGCTAGTATCGAGAAAACTTTATCGATTGCTTCTTCATTACGTACACTTAATCCATGCCATATTCTGTATTTCCTATCAATAGAATGAAGTTGAGCACGAGACATCTTTCAAGGAAGTTTCCGACGAGAGCATTCGTAGACTTCGTAAAATGTTTCGACAAATGTCGCCCCTTCATGAGACGCCATAGGCAGTAACAGAGAGGAAAAGAGAATCATCGTGATGATAAGTATCGCATGATGATACGTGAGGTACTATACCTTCATCACACGTTCCTTCAGAGATTAATGACGGAATGAAGTTAGACAGGACATATCGACTATTGGGCGGCACTATGAATGTAGCGACACGGTTTCCTCCCCTGCAGACTCTCGATTAGAAGCTATCGACGACGGACTCGCGTGCAACCCAACATCGCTTTCTCTACTAGGACTCGTATCCATATCGGAGTAATAGTGACGGAATAGACCAAAGATTAAGATCCAAATAAGGGCCCCTGAAGAACGCAAGATACTCGAAATGTGACGAGCTGCAATCTCATAAGTTCTTGACTATTTCTCAATAAGTCTGATAATGAGTATACGAAAGAGAAAAGTAGACAGGATCAATCACGAATCCTCGTCTGAATAAGCGACAACTATAGCAGAGTTGTCAAGCCTCGAGAAATCATCATCACAATGAATATTCGAGCTACTATCGGCGCATGGCTCACAATGAAATAGTACTGCTCGGACCACATAGAAGAAGCATCAGACAAGGAAAAGTCCGATAATGGGATCCCCAGGGGCTTTGAAATTCGAAAGCATGAAGATATCTGTGGAATTTCAAGGGGATCCATATTCAGCAATGCCAACAGTTTCCGAGGCCATGTTGAACGATGAAAAATAAGTTGAGAAGAAAGGACGACCGAGTAAAAATTCGGGTTCATCGTAAGGGATGAGTGCAAGTACACACCATTTACCATCACATTGGATGGCGTATTGATTTGGCGGAATCCGTATCACAAAAGGATGCTTATTATCCCCGACAGAAAATGTGAGAGTCGGGAAGGAGCTGTATCCTTTGTCTGTTATGAACCATACTCCATTGCGGGACTTGACGTACACCCCGGGTCCTGAGAAAGACGCAATCTTGTTGAGGAGGGTCTCGAACATATTCTTTGGAGTATAAATAGAGAAGACGCCCGTGTCGTAGATAACGGAGCCATGCTGCACCGGTTGCGTAAAAATCGTCCCTGTAGAGCTCACCAAACCATAAGAAGAGAGTTCCGAGTCGAAGTGACTGGCTCCATGCGGTTGGATCATGGGAATTGTAGTAACAGCGGACTTCGTGGGACATAACCCTTCCGAATCGCCGAGTATCAAAGTTCCGGTGAACGACATAACACTGCCAGGGGAGCATACTGACACCGCATATTCCTTGATGAGTTTGCTGAGGAAAAGTTGTCTTGGGACCGTTTGAGGGCTGGTTGCAGTACGAAAAGCGAGACCAAGATAATTCCGCGGCTTCTCGTTAGGCATTCTTGGGCCAGGAGAGAAGCCTATTATCAAACGGAATTGCATTCTGAGATGGTTTTTCCCGATTGTGAGAGTGCCTTCGTGCAAGACTGAGGTTATCGTCGAGCCATCGGCAAATGTAGCAACGTCCTTCCTTCCAGCATAAGGGTTACATGGGCCAGGACACGAATAGCAGCCACTTGATAGACTCTTGCAGGCACCTTTTCCGTAGGCCTTCTCGTACCAATCCTTGTACACAACGTAAGTTCCACTGAGGCCAGTATCCATCACAAAGTATAGTGATTGCCCGTCATATTGCACTCCACTGACGAGGCCGTCTTTGAAAGGCAGAGAAATCTGACCAAATGCCGCAGGGCATGAGTAGGCTAAAAGGGTCACAATGATTGGAGCTCGCATGTGAGAATAACTCAACTTGAGCATGCATACTGTAATTGTTTATCCCACCGATACGCAAGCATAAACTCTGCTGAAAGAATGACGATCACTTTGTGCGGACACGCCATACTGGGTGGCATAGATACAGAATGTTGTTGTGAATCTCCATGTGGGTGTGGAGATAAGGTACGTGCCCGCTTCGCCCGAGTCCGACTGGCAACACTAGACATAGAGAAAAGATGGAAGTACGTACTGACGATACGAAGCAATAAGAGAGCTCAAGTAGATCGAGCATAGACCAGAAATAACGAGATTA